TCACATGTTTAATCCTAGCATTTAGGAGGCAGAGAGGTTGCCAGTGTGAGGCTGAACCTTGGTCCACATAGAGAGTTCCAGGGCCAGCCAGGGCTACATAGTGAGACCCCATCTCAAAACAAATAGACAGGCATGGTGGCACATACTCATAATCCCAGCACTGGGGAGGCAGACACAGGTGGATCCCCGGGGTCAGCCAGCCTAAGAGAGTCATCCAATCACAGGTCCCAGTAAGAGACCCTGTTTCAAAAAGCAAGGTATATATCACCTAAGGAATGACAGCTAAGACTGGTCTCTGGTTTACACACACACACACACACACACACACACACACACACACACACACACCACACTTGCACACTTGCCCTCATATAAACACGTACCCCCTACATACAAAACAACTGCATCCAACCCCAGGTGCACTGGCTGGCATAGTCTGCCCCAGCTGAATGACAAAGGCAGGCATTTCTTTTGAAGCTGTGAACTTGGCTGGGGAAATTGACCAGTGCTTTTTTCTTGTCAACCTGGAAACTCCAGGTTGACAGAGGGTAAAACACAGCAGGTGCTGAAAACAAGGAGATTAACTGGAAGTCTGGAACTTTCTCTCCATCCAGAGGAACCAAATGTGAGCTACCTGCCATCTGCATCCCAGGCAGAAGTTTCTGGAAAAACCCAGAGTAGGGAGCCTCTGTGAGGAGGACCAGCTTATTGCCCACTTCATTGAAAATGAATTTATTCATAAGTGAGCCTCATCACTGTGCATTATCTCTGATGAGCGTTTTAAAAGATGTGCTTTATTTTCTAATTATGTGTACAGGTGCCCTCGTAGGCCAGAAGAAGGCATCAGATCCCCTAGAGCTGGAATTACAGCTGTCTGTGAACCATAGGATGGGGTTGCTGGGAACTGAACTCTGGTCCTCTGCAAGAACAGCATGTTGTCTTAACCACTGAGCCACCATTCCACCTCTATTTTTCTAGAACTTTACTGATGGCAACATTTTATCAGGGTCCTACTTTCATCTAAGGAAAGTCCAGAAAACATGGAGCCAAAAGAAGTCAAAGAAGCCATCAGGGGGAAACAGCGATCAGTGAAAAACAAAGATAAGTGGAGTTCAGAGGAAAACTAGAGAAACCGAAATAGTATTCCCAGCGCTAAAGCACATCTGAAAATGAACCAGTAAGGGCCATAGAAAGAATTCAGAATCTCGTCAGACTGGTGGGACGATAAGCACGAGGAGAAGCTCTTAGCTGGCCTCCCACAAATGACTGGAGAACAGAATGGGTAGTGGGACACATGCCTGTCATCCCAACACATGGAAATAGGAGGCAGAAGGGTCAGGAGTTCAAGGCCATCCTTGATAGTTGAGTTTGAGGCCAGCTGAGCTGCATGAGTCTCTGAGGACAAGGAAATGGCTCTGCAGATAGAACAGCTTGCCACCCAAGCCTGTGACTTGGAACTTGAGTAAAAGGTTGGATTTAGAGACTCTGGGAAGGAAAAAGTCATCTCCCTGTGGCTGGAGAGGTGGCTCAGTGATTAAGAGCACTGACTGCCCTTTGCTGGCAACTGGGGTTACGTTCCCAACACCCACATGGCAGCTCACAACAGCCTGCATTAACTCCAGTACAGAGCAGATCTCCTGAACATCACCCTCTCCATAACAATGATGATCCCTCTGTGAGCACACCTTGGCTGGGACATTGAGCTCCCTAGTGCCCATTTTCTCCAAATTGCATGTTTTGTCTTTCTTTCTTCCCCTCCTGCTCATTGCCATTGTAGACTTGCACAGAATCTTTAATAAGCAGGGCAGTGGTGGCGCACACCTTTAAACCCAGCACACTGGAGGCAAAGGCAGGCAGATCTCTGTGAGTTTAAGGCCAGTCTGGTCTACAGAGCAAATTCCAGCACAGCCAGGACAACTCAAAAAACAAAAACAAAAACACCACAGACTTGGTGTCACAGTGTCTTGAAATTTCCTCTCCCAAAGAAACAACCAAACTAAAAAGTTGATCATTAATCATTTGCCAGAGTGTGATTTAGTGACATTTCTGTAATCTAAACCAGTCTGGCCTGGAAGTCATTGTGTACTCTAAGGTAGCCTCAGACTCACAGCCACTCTCCTTTTTTAGCCTTCCAAAGCTGGAACATCTGGTTAGGAGCTGTCACGCACACCTGGCTTCAAGCTTGTGTTTCGGTAGCAACCCTTGGCCTTATTCTTGTGGTTTCTTTGTAGAATCACAGAGTTAGTCACTAATGGTGCTGCATGGAAACTGACTACCCCAGAGGGCCAAGACAGCCCCCAAATTGCATTTGTGCTATCTATGTACATATAGATAGGTGTATATATAGATAGATCTACAATGGTGACTTCTGTGTGTGCATAAATACACGTGTGATTGTGTGTGCGCAGTAGTGATACTGCTTTTACGGTGAGGCAGAAGTGTGACTCTGTATCACTCTTTAGGAATTGTCTTTCATGTCCATTTCCCCGTCATCCTACTG